AGCTCTACACCTTGTTATCTCAGATTCTCCAGCATCGGCAGTTCCTACTATCTCATATAGAGTCTTCCTTTTTTTTCTAAATTCTGATCATTTAATAATTTCTGCCTTTCCAAAATCATGTTTCGCTGCTATGGTTACTTAAAGTCATGCAGCATGGAAACAGACCCTTCGGCCCAACCAGTCCATACTGACCATGATCCCAAACTAAACTAGTCCCACCTGCCTGCACTTGGCCCTCCAAACCTTTCTTATTCAGGAACTTATCCAAATGTCTTTTAAATGTTGAGATCAGGGGTGAGTGTGTGAATTCTCTAGAGAATGTCAGTAGATTAAAGGAGGAGGTTTCGGGTATCCTAAATTGCATTAAGGTAGACAAGTCCCCAGGGCCAAGTGGGGTCTATCCCAGGTTACTGTGAGAGGCAAGGGAAGAAATAGCTGGAGCATTAGCAGATATCTTCACATCCACTTTAACCACAGGCGAGGTTCCGTAGGACTGGAGATTAGCCACTGTTGTTCCCTCGTTTAACAAAGGGGGCAGGGATAATCCAGGAAATTATAGGCCAGTAAATCTGACACCTGTGGTGGGGAAGATCTTAGAGAAGATACTGAGGGATATGTACACATTTGGGAGAAAGTGGACTAGTTAATGATAGGCAGCATGGTTTTGTATGGGGAAGGTCGTGTCTCTCCGACCTGATTGAATTGTTTGAAAAGGTGACAAAGGTAACTGATGAGGGAAGGGCTGTGGATGTAGTTTATATGGACTTTAGTAAGGCTTTTGATAAAGTCCCACTTGGCAGATTGGTACAGAAACTAAATCGTATGGGATTTGGGAGGGGGTACTGGATAGATGGATACAAACCTGGCTTGGTCACAGACGACAGAGGGTAGTGGTGGAAGGGTTTTTCAGAATGGAGACTGGTAGCCAATGGTGCTCCACAGGGGATCAGTCTTAGGTCTTCTGTTGTTTGTAGTTATGTATAAATGATCTGGAGGAAAATGTGGGTGGTCTGATTAGTCAATTTGCAGATGACACAAAGATTGGTGGAGTTGCTACTAGTGCCGATGCTTGTGAAAGGATACAACAGGATATAGATAGATTGGCGACTTGGGCACAGAAATGGCAAATGGAATTGAATCCAGGCAAATGCACGGTGATGCATTTTGGAGGATCAAATTTAGGTGTGAATTATACTGTAAATGGTAGAACCCTTAAGAACATTAACGTTTAGATGGATCTGGGCGTGCAGGTCCACAGTTCCCTAAAAGTGGCAACACAGTTGGCCAAGGTGATTAAGAAGGCATACGGCATGTTTGCCTTCATCGGCCGGGGCATGGAGTACAAGAGCTGGCGAACCACGTTGCAGCGATATAAAACACTTGTTAGGCCGCATTTGGAGTATTGTGTGCAGTTTTGGTCGCTACATTACCAGAAGGACATGGAAGTTTTGGAGAGAGTGCAGAGAAGGTTCACCAGGATGTTGCCTAGTCTCGAGGGCTTTGGCTATGAGGAAAGGTTTAAAAAAAACTAGGATTATTTTCACTGGAAAAACAGTGGATAAGAGGAGACCTGATAAAGGCCTACAAAATTATGATAGGCATAGATAGGGTGGATAGTCAGAGGCTTTTTCCCAGGGTTGAACTTTCAATTAGTAGGGGGCACCGGCTCAAGATGAGAGGGGGAAAGTTTAAGGGAGATATGCAAGGGAAGGTTTTCACACAGAGAGTGCTAGGAGCCTGGAATGCACTGCCAGAGGAGGTGGTGGAAGTGGGCACATTGGCAACGTTGAAGAGGCATCTGGATGGTTGCATGAATAGGGAGGGAATAGAGGAATACGGACCAAATAAGAGCAGAAGGTTTGTTCTTTATATTAGTGATGATCAGCACATGCTTGGAGGGCCGAAGAGCCTGTTCCTGTACTGTGTTTCTCTTTTGTTCTAAATGTTGTAACTGTACCTACATCCACCACTTCCTCTGGAATTCATTCTACACACGAACCACTGTATGTGTCTTTTTTAAATCTTTCTCCTCTCGTCTTAAAAATATACCCCCTAGTCTTGAAATGCCCAACCCTAGAGAAAAGACACCTGCCATTCACCTTATCTATGTGTGCCATGATTTTATAAACCTCTAAGATCACCCTTCAACATGCTACACTCTAATGAAAAAAAGTCCCAGCCTCTCCCTATAACTCAAACCCTCTGATCCTGGCAATATCCTGGTAATTTTTTTCTGAACTCCCTCCAGCTAAGTAATATCCATACTTGTTGAAGTGCCAACTTTTTGGGTGTGAGCTGTTGAAGGCAGTCACAAAGTTGAGAGCTCGGGCACAAGTCCCAAAAGAGAGAACATGAAGTTAGAGCGCAATTCCTGTTTGCAGGCAAGCCAATACAAAATTTTAAAATATATAATTGTCGGATTCAGTGGATCAAACAACTGCATTGAAAGTGGATGTCACACCTACCATGACAAAAATGCCAAATGGATGAGTGAAAAGGGAGCAAAGAGAAATTGCTTTTCCTCGGCTGCTATCACGAATGCTTTCAATCAGTGAAGTATTTTTGAGCAGAGGACATAGGAGCAGGATTAGGCCAGTTTGCCATTCAAGCCTGCTGCACCATTCAATAAGGTTATTGCTGTCTGGTTGGGATCTGTTCTGCTTTCTCCAACACTCAACCCTGAACTCTCTTAGTCACTGTTGAAATGTAAGAAATACAACAGCCAATTTGCACCTAGCAATCTCTGATAAATGGCAATATAACAACTAGATATTGCTTGCATAATGTTTATTGACAGCTTCTTCCTCCTGTTATCAGACTTCTGAATGAACCTCTCAAATTTCAAATTTAATGTTGATCTCACTCTTTGTGCACCATCTCCGCAGCTGTAACATTGTACTCCTGACTCTGTTCTATTACCCTAATGCAGTTTGCATGGTGTGATCTGCCTGTACTGCATGCAAAACAAAGTACTGTACCGAGGTACATGTGCCAATAATAAATAAAATCAATGTAAAATTAATTAAATTATTTAATTCTATGCATTCAATTATGTTACACATTTATTAGGATGTTAATTTGAGCGTTCATGAAAAAGAGACATTTCAGCTTGCATTCATTACGACAAATTCTCAAGAAATATCAAAGTACAGGGCAAACAACATCTACACTGTCTGAGGGGAGAATGGCGACTGTTTGAAGTACAGTCGGTTCTGATATAACACAATAGTTCCGTTCTCATGCGATCTCACCTTCTAAGGAAATCGCGCAATAACAGCGCCATTTAAAGTAATGGGGATGGAATTGCGTCATAGCCAATAATGGTAGGGAAAGTTTGCATTCTAGAAATATCGTTTTATTATTCTTCAGTTACATTAAAACCAATTTGCATTGAAGAAATATGTGTTATATCAGAACTGACTGTATGCTATGATTACTAGGTTACATGCTTTTTTAAGTTGAAAGAGGTATGAATATTGTCCAGGATTGATTACACTTATCAACACAGGTCTCTCTCTGATGCAGTGCTAATTAATCTGACCCTCTCTGTGTTTAATGCTCTAACTATACAGGTGACCTCTGACTGGGATATGCAAGAGGGCACAGGCTGTACAGAAGGTCACACAGGAACCTCGGCTGCTGCCCCACTCGCTGCGGGAATGATTGCTCTGATGCTTCAGGTTCGTCCATGTCTGACGTGGAGGGACGTTCAACATATCATTGTCTTCACATCTACACGGGTAAGAACATAGCAAAACTGAACAAACTGTCACCTTTTACATATGGTCCTTTGCTATGTAACCCATTAGTTCCATCCTGTTGTTTCTCAAGACTTAACCCACTATTTGACTCAGTTAAATAAGTTTATCCTTTCTCCTTCCTGTGCTTACCTAGCTTCTCCTTAAATAATTCAATACCACATATGTCAACTGCACACCACATTCACATCACCCTCTAGGCAAAGATGGTTCTCCTGAATGATGTATTAGTGTCTGTTGCATAATTTTGCCCCCTTGTTCTGTCATCCTTGCAAATGAAAGCAGCAGCCTTCTATCAAACAATTCCATAACCTTAAAGACCTCCATCAGGCCACTCTTCAGTCTTCTCTTTGTTATGTTGCTCATCTCTTAGATGCAAATTTCCCAATAGCACACCAGGATTGATGATTTTAGATTTAGATTTAGGCTTTATTGTCATGTGTAATCAAGTACAGGGATACAACAGTACTGTGAAAAGTGTACAATATTGCCATCCCAGCACCATCTCAGGCACAAAGGTAACTAGGTACAAAAATTGAAAAGTAAGTACAGTTAAAAGTTAAACATTACAGTCCTTTCTTAAGCCATGGGCCTGAAGGTCCTCCACACTGGCCTTTCCCCACAAGGGAACGCTGTCCCCTGCACTGGGCATGCTTTATACCCGCGCTAGTCTAAGTCCTGCCCAGGCTTGCCAGCTGCCATATTGCCTCTATAAATAATCTGACTTTTGAATAATGCACACTTGGAGCTTAGTATTATCCATCTTACTTCCATCACTGCTGCTTCTGATTGTCCAATATATCATGTCCTGTTGTGCTGGGTACTGATTGATAGTAGTTTAGCATACCCTTCTTTGGATGTGTACCTACATCTTGACCATGAGTAATAGAGGCCTACTGTACAGAAATAGGCCCTTCAGCCCATCGGGTCTGCGCTGTTCAGAAACAAACACCTATTCTAATCCCCCTTTCTAGCTCTTGCTCCACAGCCTTACGTGCCTGGACATCACCATTGCCCTTCTAAATATATCTTGAGAATTTCTGCCTCCCCCAGTCTTACAGGCATTGAGTTCCAGGTCCTGACCACCCTCTGGATGAAAACATTTTTCCTCGTATTTCCTCTAAACCTTCTGCCCCTCACTTTGAATTTATGTCCCTGGTCATTCATTCCTCCACCAAGTGAAAAAGCTCCTTCCTGTCTGCCCTATTCATGCACCTCATAATTTTGTACTCCTCAGTCAAGTCCCCCTTCAGTCTCCTCTGCTCCAATGTAAACAACCCCAGATTATCCAATCTGTCTCCATAACTAAAACTCTTCAGCCCAGGCAACATCCAGGTAAATGTCCTCTACAATAATGCGGATTTCAGAACTGCACACAATACTCTAGCTGTGGTCTAACCAGCATCTTACACAGTTCCAGCATAAGCTCCCTGCACAATAAGAGTTCAAGAGAGTCAGGGGGCAGAGCTCAGTGTAGTGGCTATCACTAAGGAAAAGGTGGATAAATCACCCAGACCAGATGGATTACACCCCAGGGTTCTGAAGGAGATAGTTGATAAGATAATGGAGGCATTGATGGTGATCTTTCAGGAATCACTGGAATCAGGGAGGATCCCAGGGGACTGGAAAATGGCTAATGTAACACCTCTGTTAAAGAAGAGAGGGAGGCAGAAGGTGGGAAATTATCAGCTAGTTAGCCTTACCTCATGCATTAGTAAGATTTTAGTGTCCATTATTTAGGATATTATTGTGGAGTTCTTGGAAGTGCGTGGTAAAAAAAAGGCTGAGTCAGCACGGCTTGATCAAAGAGAGGTAAAGCCTGATAAATCTGTTAGAATTCTTTTGAGGAGGTAACGAGCAAGTTAGACAAAGGAGAAGCAGTGGACGTGATCTATTTGGATTTCCAGAAAGCCTTCGACAAGGTGCTGCACGAACCCACTAAATAAGTTCAGAGCCCATAGGGACAAAGTGCTGGCATGGATAGAGGATTGGCTGACTGGCATTGGGCAGAGAGTGGGGATAAAAGGGTCTCTTTCAGGATGGCAGCCGGTGACTAGTGAAGATTCATAGAGGTCAGTGTTGGAACCACGGCTATTCCCATTATTCGTTAATGATCTGAATGAAGGAACCAAGGTCATTGTAGCTAAGTTTGCAGATCGCACAAAGACAGGTGGTGGTCCAGGTTGTGTTGAGGAAGCAGGGAGCCTGTAGAAGGACTTGGACAAGCTAGGAGAGTGGGCAAAGAAGTGGCAGATAGAAGACCATGTGGGAAAGTGTGAGGTTATGCACTTAGATGGGGAGAATAGAGGCATTGACTGAACTCTAAATGGGGAAACATTTCAGAAATCTGAAGCACAAAAGGACCTAGTTCAGGATTCTCTCAAGGTTGACATGCAGGTTTAGTTGGCAGTTATGAAGGTGAATGCAATGTTAGCATTCATTTCCAGAGGGCTAGAATACAAGAGCAGAGATGTACTGCTGAGGCTGTATAAGGCTCTGGTCAGATCGTATTTGGAATATTGTGAGCAGTTTAGGTCCTGTTTCTAAGGAAAGATATGCTGGTCTTGGAGGGGGTCAGAAGATGTTTGCAAGAATGATCCCATTCATATGAGGAGTAGTTGAGTACTTTAGTTCTGTACTTGGTAGATTTAAGAAGTATAAGGGAGGATCTGATCGAAACTTACAGAATATTGATGCGAGGATAGAGTAGATGTGGAGAAGATGTTTCGACTAATGGGCGAGACTAAGATCCAAGGGCATAATCTCAGAGATGAACTGAGATGAGGAGGAATTTCTTCAGCCAGAGGATGATTAATCTGTGGAATTTATTGCCACAGAGGGCACAGGAGGCCAAGTCATGGAGTGCCTTTAAGGCAGAGATATATAGATTCTTGATTGTAAGGGGATCGAGGGTTACAGGGAGAAGGCAGGAGAATGAGATTGAGAGACATATCAGCAGTGATCGAATAATGGAGCAGATTCCATGGACTGAATGGCCTATTCTGCTCCTATATCTCATGGTTTTATGGCCGAGCACTCTTATCATGTCTAACATATTTACACATCTTATCATAACACTCTTCTCTGGAGGTAACAGCCCCATCATCTTCAATCTTTGCTGACAGCTTTTTATTGTATCTTCTAATCATCCTGTAATATATATTCAGCTACTTGCATTTAAAAATAAAGTGCTGATGTAGGAACATAGGACTTAGGAGCTAGAGTAGGCCACTTGGCCAATAGGAAGGGTTTAAAGGGTTATGGGCCAAACGCTGGCAAATGGGATGAGATTAATTTAGGATATCTGATGGGCATGGACAAGTTGGAACAAAGTGTCTGTTTCCATGCTGTACATCTCTATGACTCTGTGGTCCCCCAATCAGTAAGATGGTGCCTGATGTGTTTGTGGGTTCCATTCCACTTGCCTGTCTGCGTTTCTGAGCCCTTGACTCTCTTGACCACTGTTTTATTTCCCCACTTTAATGAGACTTGGTTGAAATCCTCATTAAAAAGAGCCTTGATCAACCAGTGAATGGGCCTCGCAGATCAGAAGTTCATTGGCTAGCCTGTGCTGTGTTACTTACTCTAAACTGGAACTGCAGTTGAAATCTCCAAGCTCCTTGGATGTCAACTATCGTTCAGAGTTGGACTCTGAGTGACAAGGTTATGGGTTCACATCCTACTCCAGCAGGAACCAATTCACAGTATAATGTAGATGATTTTTGAGGATCTGCGTGCAGTGTGTTTTACATCATAAATTCCACAGTGCACTTACACAGATATAAACAATGGCAGTCAGCCTGGATTTGTAATGGACAGACTGTTCTTCATCAACATAACAGATATTTCAAGAATTCAGAGAAATGTAAAAGGCAATGGGATGTATGTTTTGAGTAGAAAGGGATTTTTTTTTTTAGTAATCATTTGCTGAGAAGTCACAGCAGAAACTTATGTTTGTTGATTTTTTTAATCTACCTCCATCAGTACCCTTCCCCCATATTTGGATTTTACAGGACAGGACCACAAGACTGCCTTCCATCTTTCCTCCTTGTTGAGCCCAGATTTTGTGGCTGATGATGACTGTCAGCCTTCATTCTCATTACTCATCTGACACTGAGAGCAATATCCAGAGTCCACATGTGCACAGTTTAGTGTGGGACCCCAGGGCTTTGCATATCATAAGCTGACATTGTTGAGGAACCCCTTACCACCCACACCCTCATGTTCCCACCTCTACTAGGCTGAAAACAATGGGAAACCATTGACTGTTGAGGACTTCAATTCTTATGCTCTTGGCAATGCTGAAAAATCCTTGGAAAAACATGACACATTGTTAAATGAGCCTTAACTAGGTTTTTAACAATGCACTAAGTTCATAGGTACTGCTAAAACCTCACTAACTCAGGAAGATTAATTTCTTTTTTATTATTTGTTCAAGAGATATGGGCACCGCTGGCTAGGTCAGCGTTTATTGTCCATCCCTAATTGTCTAGAGGGAAGTTAAGAGTCAACCATATTGCTGTGGGTCTGGAGCCACATGTAGGCCAGACCAGGTCATGAGTGAAACAGATTGGTTTTTATGTCAACCGACAGTGGTCACACGATTGCAATTAGGCAAGTTTTTTTATGAGCCATATTTGTTGAATATAACATTTCTCTACTGCAATTGGAAATTCCACATACCTTTTTAAAAATATTTTTAAAATTGCTTTTAAAGTTTATTTTAAACTCCAAAGGTATGGCCCAATTAATTGTGCTCTTTGTAAATTTAAAACTTAAAAGTGAACAGTTTCAGCAATTTATGCTTGCTGGTTTGCTGTCTATGAGGATACTTTACTGTGATTGGCTGCTTACCCTGCTTGATGACATCACTGCTTCTCCATCACTGGACATACCATTGATGAGTTGCCAGATTCAATGCGACATTGGGAAAGAGGAAGCCCACACCGTAGAGGTAACTGGGCATTTCTCAAGGTCAGCAGCAAGTGCCATCACACAAAATCCATCTTTTTTTTTCCCCATTTTGCCCTTACTTTCCCTCCTTGCCTAGCTGGATTCTAAACATCGCCCAGGGTTTAACGTCCTCCAAATGAGTGATTCTATTTTCTAAAAATTACAAGTGAAAAATCCAAAGCATACTTGATTTTTGGGAAAGTTGTGGCTAATATAATGTGAGGAAACACCGTTGCCTTGGGCTATGGTTACATAACTTCCCCTTTAGATTTTATCAACACAGAAAATAAAGTGGCATCAAGATTGATTCAGTATGTGTCAGTTCAAACATTTGAACTTATTTGTTTGACTGACCATGTCTGAGTTTAGTACAATTCAGTAGAATGAAAGAATTTATAATGTACAGTTCACGACCTCTGAAAGTGTTTTACTACCAATGAAGTATCATTCAGGTCTCTGATTTGCAAACGCTTGTAGTTACAATGGTGATCCCATTCAGGGTGCAGTTTTAAAGATCTGACTTACAGACATTTCCTGTACTTACGAATGCCTGCTTTATATCATCCTGCATTTGTTCCAACTTGCGTACAAGTCGTTTTGTAAATGGTCTCAGGAACCTTGCTCACAATCCAGGAACTGTCTGTAGTCACTGCTGTAATATCAGAAACTAAGTAGCTAGTTTGACTCATGGATGTTCACAGCACAGAAGGAGCATATCTAGTCAGCTCCAGTTAGAAATGATCTGACTACACTCATCCCATTTTCCAACTTGAATGTGGTGTGCTCACTCAAACAACAATGACTGAAGTGTTTGTTTTAATGACATTGCACCTGGAAAAATATTGGCCAGATCCTCTCAGAGAGCCTCCTTGCTCTTCTGTTGAAACAGTGCGTTCAGTTTTTAATAAGTTCAACTGAGAAGGAAGATGGCCCCTTGGCTAAAGGAGGATGACAGCACTTCGACAAGGATAGGACTTGTACAGTTAATGGTAGGGCCTTGAGTAGTGCTGGTAGCTCAGGGTTCAGGTATATGATTCTTTGAAGTTTGTGTCACATTTGGACAGAGTGGTTAAAAATTGCTCAATCCTTTGAGTATAGGAGTTGGGAAATCGTGTTGAGGTTGTACAGGACATTGATGAGGCCTCTTCTGGTCTACTGTGTCTAGTTCTGATCGCCAGTTAGAGGAAGGATATTACTAAGCTGGAGAGGGTTCAAGAGATTTACCAGGATGTTGCCAGGTATGGAAAGTTTGAGTTATAAAGAAAGGTTCGATAGGCTGGGACATTTTTCACTGGAGTGTAGGAGGTTGAGAGGTGACCTTTATAGATGTTTTTAAAATAATGAGAGGTGCAGATACAGTTAACGGTGGTTGTGAGGAGGTGTGAGGAGAGATGGTTAAAGACATGAGGGGCAAATATTTTACACAGGGTGGTTCGCATGTGGAATAAACTTCCTGAGGAAGTGGTGGATGTGGGTACAATTACAACATTTAAAAGACATTTGGATAAGTACATGTATAGGAAAGGTTTGGAGGGATATGGGCCAGGAGCAGGCCGGTGGGACTAGTTTAGTTTGGGATTATGGTCGGCATGGACGGGTTGGACCATGAATGACTCTCTGACTGTGTACCATGGTTAGGGCTAGAACACACAAGTTCAGGTTCAGAGTCGAGCAGCCTGTCCACTGAGCTGTGGCTAGCATCTTCTAATGGGATTTGATGTTGTACAGGGGTGTGGGGAGAATAAGAACTACTGAGGGATAAATGGCTCTTAATTCACTCATCACAATGTCGCTTTAATTCTGTTTTTTTTCCCTTAAGTTTGATGACCGCATCGCTAGATGGGAAGTGAATGGTGCTGGATTCAGTCATAGTCACCAGCATGGTTTTGGGTTGCTTAACGCCTGGAGGATGGTTAATGCTGCAAAGGTACATAGTTATGCTGATATTATTTTGGTATTATGATCCCAGCAAATGGTGTTAATTAGGCTTGGAAAGTGGAAAGGTCAGCCAGGATCCTTGCTGCTGGTTGACTGAAGCACATGCTAAATTTAATGACGTTTTCATTGCTGACCTTCTTGCTTTCGCGCTGTCCTGTGCTCAGTAATGTTTTAGGATCAGCTTCCTGACAACATAATCAATGCAAAATTGCCAAAACAATAAAATAATGTTATTTTTAAAGGAAGGTATCGTATCGCTATTGCTATTGAACAGTTGGCCTGAATTGATGAAACACGGGAGTCTGAGAAAACGGCCTCAGTCAAAGTGTCTCCCAGATCACTTCATGTGTTCTGGATGGCGTCGCTTGTATTTATCTTCCTGACTCAGAACACCACAAGCTCCACAATGGGGTCGAGCAAAGAGGCAGCTCCTGATTTCACCCAGGCTAGAATCGGAATAAAACTTTGTGCCGCTCTGACCAATCTGACCAAATTCAGCCATCCACCCAGCTGAGTCAACCAGAAACTGCACCCCACCCCCCCCCCCCGACCCCAACCCCCCCCTCATCGCCACTCTTGCCAAAAGGAACCACAGTATTGTAACAGTGCAGAAGGAGGCTGTTCGGTCTGTCCTGTCTGTGCTAGCTCTCCAAATGAGTATCATGACTTGGTGCCATTCTCCTGCCCTTTACGCATAACCCTGAATATTGTTTCTATTCAATAACCATCCAGTGGTCGTCTTGAATGCCTCCAATTGAACTTGACCCCACCCCACTTCCAGGTAGTGCATTCTAGACCTTAAATACTCCATGTATGAACAAGTTTTTGCTCATATCACTTTTTTTTTGCTTGTCCTGCAATTTACATTGTAAGTGTGACCTCTCATTCTAGTATTTTTTTGGTAATTGGAATAGTTTGCCCCTGCCTCCTCTGTCCCGCCCCTGTCAAATCTTCTCTCCGCCTTCTCCTTTCCAACTTCTCCACTCTGTCCTCATAATTGAATTCTCTCATCCCCAGACCCATTTGTGTAAAACTCTTCTGCACTGTCTCCAATATGTTTATGTCCTTCCTAAAAATGTGGTGCCCAGCTGACCTAGTGATCTAACTATTGTCTAAGGCAAGTTCCGCATAACTGCCTCATTCCTGTACGCTCTGCTCCTATTAATAAAGCCAAGGACTCTGTACGTTTTATTCACTGCTTGAGTTACATTTAGATTTTATTGTCATGTATACAGGAATGCAGCAGTACAGTGAAAAATGATGGAAGACATTCTCTGGCACCTTCCACTTTTACTGATTTATGCACAGAGCTGCAAGTCTGTTCCTGCACACCTTTTTAGAAGGCTGCCCTTTATTTTGTATTGTGTCTCCATGTTCTTTGTAGCAAAATGCATCGCCTCATACGTTTCTGCCTTGAATTCCAGTCTGCCACCTACCTGCCTACTCCACCAACATGGCATACCCTTTGAAGGTCTGCACTGTCCTTCTCACAGTTCCACTGCTGCCCAGTTACATATCATCCACCAACTTGGCAATTGTCTCCTGAGAGTTGGAGTTGTTGTAGTAACGTATGTCTTTGCCTGTGTGTTGTAGCACAGAGCTATGGATGGTGATGGTGGACACTCCAATTTCTTTCCAACACATGAATAATCAGGCATCTCTCCTACTCTTACTGCCTGCGTTGGTTTGAGTTGGAAGGATTTGCAGTTCGGTTGGCCATGTTATGAGCATACCTTCCCTGAACATCAAGTCCTAGAGTAAGACTTGAACCTGGAGCAGGTGGTTCAGAAGCAGGGATGCTACCCACTGTGCCTCAAGACCTACCATGCACGTGTCCTCACCCTTTATCATCTTTCTTATCTTGGAAAGACATTTGTATACTATTATGTCCCAGTAGGAACTGGAGTAGGCCATATAGCCCCCTTGTGACTGTTCCACCGATTGATTAGATCTTGGCTGGTCTGTACCTCAACTCCATTTACCCCCTAAATTGCTGCATCTTCTTCAACACCCTTAGCGAATGAAATACTATCAACCGCACAATTGGAATTCTCAGTTACTTGAACATCTGCAGCTTTTTGAGGGGGACAGAATTCCACATTTCCACCACCCTTTGTGTGAAAAAGTATTTCTTAGTTTCAATCCTAAATGGTTTTCTTCTGATTTTAAGAGTCTGCTGCCATATTCTAAATACCTCCACCTTCTCTATTTAGATGCTTGAGCCCTTTTATCAATTTGAATAGATCACCCTAATCCATTCTAACCCCAAAAGAATCAAAACCAAGGTCATGCACGGTGTTCTCATAATTTAAGTCCTTTATCCCATAATTTAATGCCCGTGCCTTGTTGCCCTTGAGAAGGTGGTGGTGAGCTGCTTTCTTGAACCGCTGCAGTCCATGTGCTGCAGGTAGACCCACATGCTCTTAAGGACAGAATTCCAGGATTTGGACCCAGTGACAGTGAAGGAATGGCGATTTATTTCCCAGCTAGGATAGTGAGTAGCTTGGAGGGGGATTTGCAGATGGTAGTGTTCCTATGTATCTGCTACTCTTGTCCTTCCAGAGGGAAATGGTCATGGGTTTGGAAGGTGCTAACTAACAAGCCATGATGAATTTCTGTGGTGCATCTTGTAGATGGCACACACTGCTGTCAATGCTTGACCAATATTTATGTCAGTCTGTGTTAGCCCTGGAAACCAACCTGTTCGCTCAAGCAACTGATAATGGAAAGCAAGTCATAACTTCTAACATTAGATAATCCCCTGTTATATGGAAAGCACCTTCGATGTCATATTACATAGAATTATGTTGAACTATATCCAAGGTCTAGATCACAAAGTCTGACAGCAGAACTAGAACCAAGAGACACAATTCACCAAACGAAATACAGAAAACAACAAGGAATGGAAGCAAGTGAAAAGAAATTTTAAAAATCAGAAGGACAATTTGTTGATTTATATTGTTCGTAGAATTTGGCTGGAAAGCATTTATTTCCCTGAGAAGTTGGGGAATAGTTGAGCAATTGGAGGAGGTTGAGGAGTGGCCTTATAGAGGTTTATAAAATACTGAGGGGTATTGATAAGGTGAATGGCAGGTGTCTTTTCCCTAGGGTGGGGGATTTCAAGACCAGGGGACATATTTTTAAGGAGAGAGGAGAAAGATTTATAAAGGACATGAGGACCAACATTTTTACACAGAGTGGTTCGTGTGCAAGATGAACTTCCAGAGAAAGTGGTGGATGCAGGTACAGCTGCATCGTTTAAAAGACATTTGGATAAGAAAAGTTTGGAGGGATGTGGGCCACACAAGTTTATTTTGGGATTATGGTTGGCACAGACTGGGTAGACCAAAGGGTCTGGTTCCATGCTATATGACTAACCAAGGCATTTAATAGGATTTTAAGAATCAAGTAGTAACGTGGGACTGAATAGCTATGTGCTTGAAATTACTGAAACATTTGGAATTTTACAGCAATTCATGAGCTTTCATGGTCACCAATTTTTTTGTGGAGCCTTAGCACAGATCTCCATATTTAGTTTCACAACTTGCTCGGATGTAATGCTGTGATGGCAACACAGGACACCCCAGTTCTCCACCCAGTGCTGTGTTCACAATGTTCACATTCCCTGCTGTGAATAAAAAGGATTGTCTTGTGTCATCATCTTAATGCAATCCAAGTTTACTTGCAATAGCCCTGCTTTTAGCAATTTGTCAGTGGTTCCATGGAGTGAAATGTGGTTTGATGCCTGCAGGCTCTTTTCTGATTGATTGCCACTGTATGTGACAGTAAGCTCAACATGTAGGGGAAACAAAAGTGAACCTGTGGCCTCGGGTGCAAAAACTTATCTTAAACAGCTGGCAGGTTTGGACTTGCTCCAGGTTTGGACTTGCTCACCTCTGGGATGGTAGGGAATGGACTGGAAATGAAATTGAACTACAGGCCATTGATAGCTACTTAGACAAAGTACTGTCTGTGTTTGTATATCACACTGTTAGCATTTTTACTGAACCTGTGAAATTTGTTCTGGACTTCCGTCTATGTAAGTTTTGGTATGTGCTTTTGAATGAAGTTTTTTATTTTTATTTTCTCCTTTAGTCCAAGTTATTGTGATTGTGTGAAATTTTGCATTCTGGTGTTTGTCCTGATGATTGCAAGATGAAAAGTTTCAGCAAAATGTTTGAGCAAAGTTCAAGTTATTGTTCAGACAAACAAATTGTACAGGACTATAATAGTCTGTGAACTTAGGTGGAGATGGGTGGATATGTGAAACCTCTGTGTGTGTATCTTCCAATCCAGATCTGGGAATCCGTGCCGTTCCTCAGCTCTTATACCAGTCCCCTTGAGACAGAGGCCAAGCTCATCCCCTTACATCCCCACAAGCTGGAAATTACCTGGAACGGTAAGTAGGGATCTCTATGGTTAATGGGTAGAAACATAGAAAGTAGGAGCAGGATTAGGCCATTCAGCCCTTTGAGCCTGCTCCTCCATTCAGTATGATCGTGCCTGATCATTCAACTCAATTGCCTGCTCTCACTTTTCCCCCATATCCTTTTGATCCTTTTAGCTCCAAGGGCTGTATCCGAATGTTTTGGCCTCAACTACTTTCTGCGTAAGCGCATTCCACAGGTTCACCACTCTGGGTAAAGGAATTTCTCCTCATCTCTGTCCAAAATGGCTAACCCATATCCTTAAACTGTAAGCCTTGGTTCTGGACTCCCTAATCACTGGGGACATGCATCCTGCATCTACCCTGTCTAGTGCAGTTAGTACAGAAAGGAGTTGAGCAGCATGACCCCAGTTAAAGCCCCTTACTCTCTTGATCTCTGAAACCTGTCTTGCCTCTTTGTGTCTTTGTCAGTATTCAGCTGGCCTCCAGCATTTACTTCTTAAACTCCACATTTGTTCAAAACGCTGATGCCCTTTTCCTGTTGAATACTCGATCTTGCATGCCTGTGACTGTTAACATAGTGTTGTGTGTGATGCGTACATATATGCACCAGTACTTTTGTTTTGGCAGATGCCAGCTGCCTGTATTTCACCTCCATTTGCAGATCACCCCTGACTTTGCACTCTCCAGAGATGAGTAGCTCCAGAGCCGGATCAGATTTTTCTTTGCTGGCTGCTTAAATAATGTTTGGTACCTCCTGAGGCCGTAAGTTCACTGTCATTTGCTGTACGTTGTTGAGATTCCCATCACATCCAGTAGCAACAGATCAGAAACTACGTTTGCTTCCATCCCAGCACCACCCCAAATGTCAGTTCCTGACCAGCAAGTCCTTGCACAATCTGCTTTACCTTATCGATGCAATCTCTTCCAACCTCCAACTGCTTCGACATCCATCGGCCCTCTGACTTTAATATATTCAGGGGAGGCGATGGTCTGGTGGTGTTATCGCTGGACTGTTAATCCAGAGACCCAGGTAAGGTTCTCGGGACCTGGGTTTGAATCCCACCATGGCAGATGGTGCAATTTGAATTCAATAAATATCTGGAATTAAGAATCTAATGGTGACCGTGAATCCATTGCCGATTGTCAGAAAAATCCATCTGGTTCACTAATGTCCTTTAGTGAAGGAAAGTGCCATCCTTACCTGGTCTGGCCTACGTGTGACTCCAGACCCACAGCAATGTGGTTGATTCTGAACTGCCCTCTGGACAGTTAGGGACGGGTAATAAAAGCTGCCTCATCCCTTTAAAGAATAAAGGATTCCCCCTCTCTTTGCCCGACCAATAGTGGCAAAGCCTTCAACAGTTACTCTCTGGCATTCCTCTTGAGCTCATTGGTCCCTATTACTCTCTCAACATTTAAAACCCGCAATTAAGACTTTCAATCGAGCTTTCATCATTTCTTCCCAGCTAACTTGGTGTCTGTTTTCATTACGCTGGTTTCTGAGATATCTTGGAATGGATTTTATACAATATTTTGTGGTCCTTTTTTTGAGAATTAGAATATATTTTTCACATAATTCGGATGTTTTTGTTTTTGGACAAACTCTCACCTTCAGCTCAGGTAAACCAATAGGCAGGTGCACTGATATTCCGTGCTGACACTCCAGTGTCCTGAGGACATGCTGCACTGTCGGAGCTGCTTTCTTTCAGAAGAGACATTAACTCAATGCTCCCCATGTACTGTCAGGTGAATGTGAAAGATCCCGTGACAGAATTCAGAGGAGAACACTTCCAGTGCCCTACGTGTTATTTATCCCTCTCTCTACAATGCTTTAGAAAAGGTTACCTTACTGACCTCTCTGCAAATCGGCTGTCACGTTTCCTGCAATAGGAACTGCACTTCAAAGGAACCTCGTTGGCTTTAAAGCATTTTGGAATGTCTTGAGGTCATGCTAGACATTACAGGAATGGAAGTTCTATTCTTCATTACTTTATTTTAAGATATACCATCAATTTTAATCAAATCTGGTTCAACATTTGATTTTCGTGCTTTATTTATTCAGTGATAGGATTTTTATTTATTCATTCACGGGATGAGGGCATCGCTGGCTAGGCAACAGGTATTGATTGTCCCTAACTGCCCAGTGGGCAGTTAAGAGTCAACCACATTGCTGTGGGTCTGGAGTCACGTTGTAGGCCAGACCAGGTGAGGACAACAGATTTCTTTCCCTAAAGGTCGTTAGTGAACTAGGTGGGATTTTCATAGAATCGTAGAATCCCTACAGTGTGGAAACAGGCCCTTTGGCCCAACAAGTCCACACCGAACCTCAGAGCATCCCACCCAGACCCATCCCCCTAATCTACACCTCCCTGAACACTACAGGCAATTTAGCATGGCCAATCCACCCAACCTGCACATCTTTGGACTGTGGGAGGAAACCGGAGCACCCGGAGGAGACCCACGCAGACGCTGGGAGAACGTGAAAACTCCACACAGACAGTCGCCCGAGGCTGGAATCGAACCCGGGTCCCTGGCGCTGTGAGGCAGCAGTGCTAACCACTGAACCACTGTGCCACCCTCATTTATGAAAATTGACAATTGTTACATGGTCTCCATTAGACAAGCATTTAATTCTAGGTATTTATTGAATTCACATCTCACCATCTGCTATAGTGAGATTTAAAGTTATCTCCCCAGAACATTAGCAAGGGTCTTTGATGACTAGTCCAGTGACAGTACCAATTACTAGAGCTCTATAATTAACTGCAACAATCTTGCTGCTTTCTTTTCCCTTCAAAAATCAACACCACTGAGATCAGCTGACAGGCAGATGTTTGATTTCTGAAGTGGGCAACAGGGACAGAATATCAGCCAGAAATATTCCGCAGGCCCATTCCCTCATATTTTGCCTCACCAACCCCTCTTACAGGCTGAAGGAAGCCACTGTGGAAACTCATTGGCAGAAGAAGTGAATTTCTCAACTTTTTAACTAATCTGCATTTGGTAAGTTGTCCTCTGTTAACATCACCTGATGTCTGCAAAACACTTTGTTCAAATCCTTCCTTCAGCAGCCTGCATTCTTTGGCTAACTATTGTTGAGTAATTTCTACAGATGATAGATTGTTTGCAGGCATGAATCATGGATGTTAGTCCATCATTCTGTCATCACTAGAAGCAGCCATAAGCCTTTTTGTAAAGATTCCTAAAGAATGTTTGAAAGTGAAGCATGTATTTTGAGTTTATTTTGCATTCCTGATATTCTCTCTGTCTGAACTTTTTAATGTTTTCAAATGCCCAGATTTTTGAGCCAAGTGAATGTCTTTACAAAGTGGATTTAACAAATAGAAAAATGACAGCTCTATTTCAGTCAGCAGATTTTTCTTTATGTTCATTCACAGAATATATGTGTTGCTGGCTGGGCCAGCATTTGTTTGCCTGTCTCTATTTACCCTCGAGAAGGTGGTATTGAGCTGCCTTCTTGAACCACTGCAGTCGACCTGCTAAAGGTATACCCACAGTTGTCAGGAAGAGAGTTCCAGAATTTTGACCCAGCAACACTGAAGGGACAACAACATAGGGGAGACAATGACCTCGTAGTATAATTGCTGGACTGTTAATCCAGAGACCCAGATAACATTCTGGACAATCCGAGCTTGAATCCCACCACGGCAGATGGTGGAATTTGAATTCAATAAATAACTGGAATTAAAGAGTCTAATGATAACCATGAATCCATTGCTGATTGTTGGGAAAACCCATCTGGTTCACTAATGTCCTTTCGAGAAGGAAACTGCTGTCCTTACCTGGTCTGGCCTACATGTGACTCCAGACCCACAGCAATGTGGTTGACTCTTAACTGCCCTCTGGCTGCCTGGCCAACGATGCCCACATCCTGTGAATAAATGAGAAAAATAAAACATGTGATTCCAGATCCTTAACAGTTGACTCTTAACTGCCCTCTGAGCAATAAATGCTGCCTAGATGGCAACGTCCTCATCCCATGAATGAATAAAGAAAAAAAAAAATTCAAGTCAGGATGGTGTGTGACTTGGAGGGGAACTTGTGGGTGGTCGTGTTCCTATGCATCAGTTGCCATTGTCCTTTCTAGCTGGCAGTGGTCATGGTTTGGACGATGGCTCTCACTCTCCCGCCCGCGCTGTCTCGCCCTGCATTATTGGCAACATCTGAAATGTGCTGTCTCCCATGAACTCACTTCCGGAACTCACTTGCCCTCTGGCAATTTTAATCACCACCCTCCACCTGCCTGGAGTCATACAAGGGCCATGCAGTGTTAAACCAGCCAAAGTGAACAGGATACAGCAGAGCATAAGTTGTATTTTAAATCTATATGAGGATTTATTTTGAGGCCCAGGAGAAGCAGGAGTGAACATTGCCTCTGCTGGCCTCAGTTGGGAGGCTATTTTTAGGTACTGGCATTAATTGAAGCCCGGGATTAAAATTGACTTTACTTCCTGGTTAACATTCAAATGAGCCTGGTGACCCAGACTCCTCCATTTTCCCTCCTGTTGTATTCTGTCCAACTTATTGTAACACACTTTCTCCCACATGCACTCACACGTTCAGCACTCTATCCTTTTGTATGTTTACACTGTCACTCTCTCCGATATGCTCCTGTTTATCTCTTTCTCATTTGCCCTCCATCTTTCACCCTCTGACTCTCCCTCTCTCGGATTGCCCATGCTTCATCTCTCTGTCTCTCTGTCTCTCGCGCTGTCTGTCTCCACTCCCTCCCTCCCTCTGTCTCTCTCTCCCCTCCCTCCCCCCTCTCTCTGTCGCGCTCTCTGACTCCCTTTCCCTCTATCTCACTGCCTGACTGGGTGGAATCAAGGTGTGGTTTTGAGGATCTTACCTTCATCTGGAGAGCTGGCAAGAGCCCGCGCTGTCTTGGTCCACCGAGACACAAGCCAGTTGGGTAGTGGCAAGGCCACCCACAAACCTTGTCCCTAAACCAAGATGCCAAGGCGAAAGGACCTGTCAATGCCCTGTCA